CAGCACTGAGGAACTGCACAGGGAGAGTATATAAGAGAGACTGAACAAAGACAGGACTAATGAGCTGATTGGAAACAGGTGTGCAGAGAGGATTCTAGAAGGGAGCTAGGGAAAAGGAGACAAACACAAAATGGCAACAAAAAAAAAACCTAACAACTCAAATAAATCCAGAAAATATAACAAAATAGGAATTAAACTAATAAAACTAGAAAACATGGATCAAAATAAAACTGAATACTCAAAAGAAAACTTAACAGCAAGACTGTGACAATAACTCATTTAAACTTCCACTGACATGTTTGTTAAGAAGGAAAAATACATTCATATAATCCAGCAAAGGCTTTAAATGTTAGCTTTATCTGAGATATATTTTTTTTCTATCTAAAAAATACAGTAGAAATACTTAAATCTGTTTAGTTTTTATACATTTAAATAAAATCTTGTCACACGGATGCCATTGTGCTTTTTACACAGTAATGCATTGTGGGTAAATGATGTATCCAATGTCTTGTAGCGCTAGCTTTGCCCAACCAAAACAATCAGTAACATTAAACATTTTCACTTTCAAATGAAGCACAATGAAATCGATGAGAAAACAGAAATAAGAGGTGATGAAGATGAGGAAGATACCCATAATGTGGCCTGGAGTACTTACCGTTCCAATATTGATCCAATACAAAATCAGGCTTATTCTATGGTTTATTTTGAAATGTAAAATGTTAGAAAAGGCTTGATCAAATACAGTAATATTATTCAAACAATAAAATTGGAATACTACTGATACTAATATCGCAGATTTTAGATGCAGGCTGATACATATTCCAATATTAGTTGTTTGGCGAACTGATATCAATATCAGATCAGGACATCCTTGGTTTGAATAAAGACAAAGCATAAGAGAACAGAAAACTTTGTTTTCAAATGACAATTTCATTTATAAGGTAAAAAAGGCTATCATGATTCACAAGCAAACAAAAAGAAAGGTTTTCAGAAAAACGTCCTCGATGATGCACAAGATTTTTGGGAACATTTTCTGAATTAGTCTGTGAACTAAAAGATCTGTAATGTGTGCATCATCTTAAGTTCAAATCGAAACAAAACATATATGACATCAAACTATTAATCGGTCTCCGCCAAGTGACGTCAATTGTTTACCTCGGGCGCGGTACACTACGCCTTTTCCACCTAAAATGGCGTCTTAACAACAAAAGTCACGTGACTGGCGGAGACCGATAGATAGACATGGTGTAGCCAGACATCCTGACAGACCTAATAAATAATCTTCTACAGGCGTTTCATGTGTTATCATAAGGAACCTTTGATGGTTTTACTGCCTAGGAGAGAGTTGGTTCCTATGTTTTTTGGGATAATGCTTTTTTTCTTTGGTTGAATTGCAAAAACCGAAGAAATCAGTGAAACGCTTAAAAAAAATAAGAAATGGCAAAACCCCACACCCCATTAAGAGAAAGTAAATCTGCGCTTACGTTCAGCGATCATCAGCGGCGGGTAGAACAGGAAGTATCCCACCAGCTCAGCCGTCAGCTGGTTGAGGAGCCCGCTGGATATTGTCCCGTTCAGAACAGCGTCCTGGTTTTTAACCACATACACCAGTGTAACGGAGGGGGAGCCAGACTCCTGAGAAACACTCTGGATCTGAGGATAAACACGCCAACCTGAATTAATTAGGCTGCACTCTGCCCTGCAGATAAAAATCTTGAGAGATTTCTGATTTTTTTTTTTCTGCATTTGTAGAAAAAACCTAAACAAAAACATGGCCTTATTCATAATTTAAACATCTTTTCAAAAATATCTACAGCCATCATGCCAAATATCCAAGAATGCTTATCGGACCTCCAGTGGACAAGATTTTCTTCTCTCCATAATAAGGCCTTTCTCCCAATGTTATGTAAAAATGGATAACGACACAAGATACAGAGAACTCCCATCACATTTCTCTGCGAGCGTTAATATTTCAGGGGATAAATTATGAATGGAGCCTATATCTGTGTTTGCTTGTTGAGACCTACTTTACGGTTCAGCCTGCGTTTGTATGAACAGCAGATATTCTGCAAATAGAAGAAAGACTGGCAGAAAATATACATGATTTATGTATAAAAACCTGATTTGTTACGGATTGATGTCTTCATAAATATAAACAGCATGACTCAGAAGCTGGCCTTTGAGTAAAGTGCAGAGTGTTACTATAACGGTTGTTTGAGAAAGTCACCTGATCACAGCAAGTTAACCTGTTTTAAAAAAAACTGCAAAAAACAAGAATAAGTATGCTACCATCTGAGCTTCTTCAAGAAGCTGTAAATCCTCATGAATTTGTATGGTACTGTTAGTCTGATTTGCAAGCTGCATGCAGGCGGGACACGTCAGGCTGTCTGCCTCATACACAGACTCAGTGCACACATCCCGTACCTCCACCGTGAGTCTGTTGTAATTCTCCAGTACTTTATCCTGAGCCTCTTCAAATGCATTCTCCAGTCGCTGCTCCAACATCTGGACAAAACTGCATGAGTAGATGTTGTCTGTAGGCCCCACGAATCTCAAAACTGTAAACCAGAGAGAAAAAAGATCAAAGATTATCTATATACCATCCGAGCAGCAAGTTGCTCCCTATGAGGGATGGATCTAATCTCACATGAGCTATATCATGCAAAATTTACTTCTTTGCAGGTTTAAATCTTTCTAAAAGGTTATTTCTGTCTCAAAAAATTTGTTGAAATGTTACTCTTACTCATTGGGCCCTCCTTTAAGGTATTTTTGAGCGTTTTATAAAAGCCACCTCTCCACTTTAAAAAAAAAGATTGTGTGCAAGAGCATGCACGAGCCCATTTCTCCTCGTGCACGCCCTGTTTAAAATGTGCTGTTCTCATAGCAATAAACAATAAATATTTGTGTTTCTCTGTGCATAGGTTTATTCAATCATTTAGGAGCAAACATTACTTTTGAATTTAAAAGGTTGTTTATTTTTATCTATATATGACTTTACAAAAAAATTTAGTAAGAACCTGTAATTAACTCAATAAAAAAAAATTTAACAAGTCCCATCACTACTTGTAGCATATATAAATGCTGTATCGTTTGTCTATTTGTCTGCATATAAGAGCTCCTTCATGCTAACAATAAGGTATGGGTGTAGCTTCATGAAGCTTCTCCCACTGATTTCAATGGCTGGTGCAGAGTTGACCATATAGCATCATAAAGGACCTTTAAAACACCATCAAATTTATTGACACAGTAGTTTTTTTATCCCTGTACTGTTGTTACAAATGTGCAGCAAACTACATATGGACAATATGGCCAAAATTGATATCATGATATAAATTTGTATTTCAGACGATACCATATAATTTCAATAGTGATATAAAAAAGGTAAAAGCTAACATAAAAACTGCCAAGAATTCCCAACAAACATTGGGTATTCTTTTGATATTGTGACATATATTGATATAAAATTATTGTCCAGCCCTGCATCAAACATGATTTTATGATTTTATGTTTTATTTGCATTTGATCACACTCTTCATTATAAGTAAAGGTGCATCCTTTGATTTTGACTGTGTATTTAATGTATGTTTGTGACTCTCATTTTATCAACCATCATTTTAACTTCAATGTTATCATAATAACAATCCCTGAGTACGGCATAGATGTAGTATTTGGTTGGTTCTGATATTTAAGGGGATGTGCATTCACAGCATGCAAAGCATGTATTTGGCCAGTTAGTTGACTATTTCAGCCAAAAATTGACACAAAAATTTGTCACAGCAAACTGCAATAATGGAAAACAAGGATGTAAATAACAATCAGCAAGAATTATCAAGGGTGATGCAGCAGTTTTCCTAATATTTTTAAGTCCTATTTTTTGAATAACAACGTAAGTAGCCTTTGATTTGCCGGGTTTTTGTTTACAGCTTTACCTAATAGAAACTGCTTTACCACAGGTTTTCTCCGGCTTCTGTGTGTTCCAGATGACCAATTGACTTGTTTCACTGCAGGAACTGCGATGTATACCACATCAAATCCTCCAAGTGCATTAACACAGTTATGCATGCGAAACAAAGCACTGAGGCACAGAATCAACCTATGAGTTGTTCAGCTCATTAACCATAAATACATTTCCCAATTTACCCACGGCAGTGCAATCTGCATTGGATTATGTGTTTGCATCTGCAGAGTTATTCAGAATGAGAGCCCAGTGCAAGATGTTGGGTCTTTGATGGCAGACTGCACTTATCAGCATCATGTTCGAATTTAGGTCAGAACATGTTGTTTAGAATTAATTCACAAAACAAAAGATATTAAGCATGCAATAGAGCGAGGAAATAGAGAGCGACTGGTACCGAACCTAATCTGCTGATGGATGCGATATTGTTTACCCCAAGCTGTAACTCTCCATCATGGATGTAGAGCTGCTGGTTTTAGCCGGGTTTTAGTTCAGAAGGTGATAATCTTTTTTCGTTTGTATTGCTGCTTAGGTTTACTGGTCACCCAGGCATCCCTTTCTTTTTTTTTTTTCAACATTACAAACCAAACATATACATTCCACATGCAGCATGAAGGATTGGATATCTTATCCCTAGTGCTTTATTCTTTAGACTTAACCTCAGATAGTGTTTGTTTTTGCTGCTGAAGATGTATCAGCTGTTGGCTCAGGTCAGACGATCAAGTGATGATCTAGTGATGGTAGTTTGGGGTGGGAGGTAAATCTGCTTGAAGCATTTTTATCTAATGAAAAAAATTATCTTTCTTCCTTTTTGCAGGTGTGCACCTTTTTGTACAATTATATTAAATCCCAAAGTTATATATTAAACATTTCTAGTTGTAACAACTCAAAATGTGACAATATTTTATTCTTATCTTATTCCTATATCTTATTTTACACTGTTTATATGGGAAGGGTGTAAGTTTACTGTGTGGGTTGTAATTTTACTTATTTTACTTTTTTTATTTTATTCAGTCTTATTATGTTATATCTTATTTTGCTCTATTGCTCTTACAATCTTATTTTTCTCTGTTTTCTAAAATGTTGCACTGCAAGAAAATAATTCCCAGCAAGGGATTGATAAAGTAATTCTGATTCTGTTTCTGGGGCTGCTCAGTGGGCTTGCAGCAAGAAGGTTCTGGGTTCGATTCCCAGCCCGGGGGCTTTTCGGCATGGAGTGTGCATGTTCTCCCTGAGTATGTGTGGGTTCTCTCCGGGTACTCTAGCTTCCTCCCACAGTCCAAAAACATGACTGTTAGGTTAATTGGCTTCTCTAAATTCTCCTTAGGTGTGAGTGTGTGTGAATGGTGTTGTGTGTCTCTGTGTTGCCCTGTGATGGACAGCTGGAGATACGCACCGGCAGCCCTCACAACCCCGCTTGGGATAAACGTGACAGAAAATGGATGGATGTAGGATTCTGTTTCTGAATTGTTTTACATTGCAGAAAGATTGACGCTGACTTTCTCCTGAGCCTTTACCAAGTATTTAGGATGTAGTGCAACACAGCGGTGTCAACAGTACACATATTTGTTACTAAAGTAGAAGTATAGAATCTGCTATTTTAAAAACACTCTGGTAAAACTGGAAGTTTCAACTTGACCTCTTTACTCAAGTAAAAGTCAAAAAGTATGTGCTCCAAAAACTACGTAAGCAAAGTAACCTTTAAAAAATAAACAGCCAGATGCCACTATATGAACTGAAAGCTCAATTTTTCAACTATTTCTAAAAATTCTTTGAAATAGGGCCAAGGATGAGGGAGGTCTGGTTGGTCTCCATCTCCCGATACGCTCTCGTCTGTGTCCGACCTTTCAGACATTTCAGCATCTTTTTCTGAATCCCACATTGTAGCATGGCATAGACAATTCACGTTAGCAGTTTGAAGAACACCTGCTTGCTTCTGTTGATTTCCTTTAGCTAACCAATGAGTGTTTGCGTTATTTGGCTCATCCAATCACACTAGTTTCCACTAGATGTGGATGGAGCCAATGATCTGCATTGGATGGCGGTCATGACGTGAAATAAATATATATAAACATTATAAACATTGGATTATCTCTCACTCCAGACTGACTGTGTTAGAGGGGATTTCATATATATCTTACTCTGAAATAATCAGATCAGCACCTTCCTTTTAAGCTGCTTGGTTTATGAATTTGTGCCATATTCCAACTTTGTTCAGATCTTTTCACTCATGTCCTTTGGTATCACTTTGGATATTCACATGAATATGGAGAAGATGGACGGAACAGAGGAGAGGTGCACTTCAGATTCCACAGTTCTATGTGTAAAGCATTGGATCTGATCCTTATTTCACTCAGAAAAACAAATTAATTATTTACTGTGTTTCAATTTTCACAGTGAAAGATGAAGAAGAGCTCAACACAGGAGACACAGACCACATGCTGTACCAATTAAATAAATGATCATGCAACAAACAAAATTCATCCATGAATGAAAGTAATTACAAAGGAATTTTGCATCAATGCAATTTTTGAAATGTGGTTTTGTTAAACAGCAGGGTGGTTGGTTTACTTTATTAGTTTTAATAAATTCGGATTCAAAACTAGGATTTGATAGAGAAATATCATAGCAGACTGAACATGTAAAATGTGGCAGAAAATCTCTTGCCTGTTCTGATTTGTCTGACCTTGCTCACTTGTTCGCTGGAAAGTGTTTTTGAGGCTTAAGAGGTAACTAGGTGATTGGACAAATTGTTCTGCAATCACGGGGGTCTGCATGGGGTATTAAAGGAGAGCACAATCAGGCTTTGTCTAATTTTGTCCCTGTTCTAATCTTCCAGGTGACATTTTTATCCTCCAATGACGTAGCTGTTTCTCTTTTTACGATTCAAGTCCATCAGTAAGTTGTGCTTTAGCTGGATTTTCGAGTCATAAGTTTTAATCTCAAGTTTCCCCTCACCTGTTTTTAGCTGCAGGTAAATTTGTGGAGCGCTGACCCAGGTTGCCACGGGAACCAGAACGGCCTTAACTAGCGGGGTGTGTTGCCTGATGTCAGACAGCAGCTTGTCAAAGCCGTAAACGTTCAGCGCCTCAACAACCATGGAAGAAACGTAGACGGTTTTCCCACTGGTGACGTAGTAACCCAGAGTCAGGTTGTGGGGGCTGCATTCGTCTCGCTCCACCTGCGACAGACACAGAAAACAATTAATGCGTTTCAAATACATCCTTATTCAGGACAGGTGGCTTCTGCAGTTCCTCCTTATTGTTCGCTGCAATAAGCATAAACTTACACCAGAAAGTGACTTTAAATGGGGGACAATGTTAAGTTGTTTTAGTCAGCAGTGCCACAGTTGTTGTTATCCCCAATTACATCTATAGAAAGAATGTAGCTGAAGCATTATAACAACTTAATGTTTCCCTGAGACATAAATCAGAGCAACATATTGGTAAAGATATGCGCTGTGTACGCACCTTGAAGCTCTATCTGTCCAGTTCTTTTCCCTGAAAATAGATCTATCCGGATAAGCTCTTTAAATAACGCTTCATAGCTTATATGTATTAAATAACCAGGAGACATGACGAGATTGTGATAGAAAATGTAATCTTACCCAGATCAGAGAAACTGCTTAGAGTTTAAAGAAGGCAGCCATAGCCATATATATATATATATATATATATATATATATATATATATATATATATATCCAGACAGAGGAACTGTCTTAATTCGATTAACTATTCTGAAAAACATCAGTTCTGACACGCAACAGGCAGCCAATACCAAGGTGTAATAAACTGACATCATCAATGATAATTATCCTAACAATATAAATAAATCATGCAATAATTATATTATTTGCAATAAGTGTGCATTTTCCATCTCTCTGTCTCAGCTTCCTTGGCGATAAATGCACCATCATGACCTGCAGCATCTCTGCCGTTTTTATCAGCTTTGAGCTTCTAAGAACAATGAGACTCCATTCATCAGATCTAATATATAGTTGGCCTGCTAACTCCTGAATCCTTAAAATGTTCACTAATGGTGCAACTCAAACTGTCTTTTGCATTATTAGAATTGTACCATTTGATAATGAAATAATGATTACCAAAATATTGTTTAGCTAGAGTAGAAGTAGTGTGGTTGAGATGGAGACCATTACCCACTCCACAAAATAGGAATGATAAAAAAAACATAATTCCGATCAGATGTACAACTACAGATTGCTCTGGTTGAGCCGACAGAACTGACAAAGAACCCTGAAAAGGCGTCAAAACCTGAGTGGAAGTCTGGTTGCCTCCCATTTAAGCCTGTTTTGGGGCATATTGAATGATTTGTCAGGTGAATATTCAGATCTTAGTAACTCTCCTATGTAACTAAAAAACAGGCTTAAATTGGAAGGCAACCGGACCTTTGCTTAATGTTTTTAAAGAGGTTTCAGCACCTATCCTGGAATCTTTGTCAGGTAATTTACGGGCTCTATTGTGAGTTGAAAAAGGTGTTGAAACGTCGTTGAAAAAACAGAGAAAGTCCAGTCCTCCTTGATTTAAAAACTGGTCAGAAGCACTCCACACCACATACAAAACTCCACAGACTGTATTCCCAAGGTTTGAGAAACTACTTTCTCAGGGATGCTAAACCTGGGAGTGAAAGGTTAGTGCCCCCTAAGTGCTAATTTAAATCTTTTTATATTACTATTTTTGTTCAACCAGATGTGGAAGGCTGAACCAAAAAAAAAAAAAAAAATGCTGGAAATGCCTCTATTGCATTTGAAAAACTAGTAAGGACGCAATTTGTGCCGTTATGGATGGAAAGACGTTTTTTGAGTTTTCTCAACCACATTTGGTACAGGTTTCTTTTGTCAGTTAACTCTGAAACAAATCAAGAATGCAAAAAATCTCAGCTACTACTGCTGCTGTGATTGGCTAAAAGCACGACATGGAAGGCAGGTACCCAGTCAGCTCCAAGGATTGTACTGAATGTTCCTCCCTTTTACAAAACCCTTCTACAGGAGGCATCCCAGACTGATCCATGTAGAATTCAAATTGAAACTACTCATAAGCCATATTACTTATTTGACACTAGTCTACAAAACATATCTCTACAACTACATAACATTAAAACACAGAGTCATCTTACGGCAGCTAATACTGAAAACAACGGAAATCTATGGAGTACTTATTTCAAATACATTTAAGCACCTTCACCACCTGAGTGGACTAAAGTGTCATAAAAATTGTTTTGTCCTAATAACTCGAAGTAATTCATTATCTTTGAAAACTATTCATTCATTGCCTGAATTCTGTTATTTACCATTTTTAGGGATAATTTTATCCTGTAATTTTTTTCTCCTCTTAGAATTTATTGTTTTACATTAACCATCACATTCTCGTTTATTGAACTAGTGCTTATTTTTTTACATGCTATTCTGTTTTAAAATTAAAAATCATAATGGACGGTTCATAATGATGGTATCAAGAAATATTGAAGTTTAAGACAAGTTTATTTCAAATTAAAACAATAAAAATATTTAAAAACTCAAGGTTTTAAAAATTGACAAGTTCAAATTCAGCGGGATTATTTCTGTAACTGAGCAGCACTAAGCAGGACAAGTATTAGATTCTATTGTCAGACGGTTTTGCAGCTTATAGTGCATCTGGCCTGAAACTGATAAAAATATGGAAAAGCACCATATTCAAACTGTGAAGGAGGTTAAAGGGTCTGTGATGCTATGGGTCTCTTTCTCTAACGGAGGGCCAAAACCCTAACAAGAATTTGTAAATAAGAAAATCATAGGGAGTTTGCCAGGAAAGTAAAAATAGATCTGCACTGGATTTTTGAGAGGATTAATCTGTAAACCCGATTGTTGAAAGGAATTATTTAGACTAAGTAGTTAAAACTCTTTCCTTTATAAAACCTCTCTTAACTCAAATATGCTAAATTCCATTCATTGATCCTCTTCCACTTATCTATCAGCATTGCTATTTTCAGCAGTCTAATGGCGAAAAGGCGGGGTACACCCTGGATAGGTCCCCAGTCTGTCACAGGGTAAATATGTTGAGCTAGTTTATCATATCCTGGATTATTTTTTTGTATATTTAACTAAAGCTATGGATTAATCGGAATCACTTGTGAAGTAATTAAGCATAAAATAACTTGATAAAGATCAACTTGCAGGAAGTGATTGTGCAGGTTTAGAAAATGGGATCCCAATGTCTGACTATGGGACATTGGATTATGACAATGGGTGCAGTGAGCACTGCAGCGTCATGAGCGAGGGTGCTCTTATATTTAATGGGGACTGCAGGTTGTTAAATGTCAGAATCTCAAAACCTTAGGATTGTGCAACGATGTTAATAAATGTGTGGTGTTATTACAACACCCTGCTGGACATAAACTGATCTAAGATCTAAAATTCTATGTTAAGACTCTTTCTACATCGTTTAGATCAGTTGCATTAAACATGGAAGCCAGTATATTTCTCCTGATAGAAACAATGGTTATCACTGTTTTGTCCAGAGGATATTTTGCTTTCTAGATCTTTTTATTTTTATTTACATTTAAAAAAGGCATATAAAGCATTATTATTAAAGCACATTCTACCGGCTACACACTGTATTTGATTATTTAAAGTTAAGGCACAAACATTAGACCATGAATATTAATAATCCCTGGGATCATTTCAGTTCAAGACAACCTAAAGGCTAAAATTTAGCTCGTCTGCAAAATAAATGTTAATAGCTGTGTCCTAAAACACACACACACGCCCACAGACAACAACTGTGGTGAATCAAAGGCTGTATTTCTGGAACTTAACACCACCCACCTTCATGTACCCTCTACCTTCAACCACACCATGTAGCTGAGGTTGTTGTTGTTATGGATTGTCTTTCTTCTCCCTCCTCAACCATCTTTTCCTTTCTTCTTTCTCTCCCTGAGCATAAGCTTGCTGCTCCGGACTGATCTTTCTATCCTCCCTAAATGAAACTGTATCCCGGCTCTTCTGCAGAATTCTATTAAAACCTTCAGCTTCGTTTTCTTTTTTCCAAGCAACTCTTTAATCAAAAACTTTTTCAGCTATAATCAGACACTCCATATGATATTCATAAAACCACCTTAGTGTTTTGCATTTCCTTGATAAACAGAAAAAAGAGGCCTTGGATTCTGCCTTTGATCTCTTAACTGAAATGCTATGAGCACAAAATTAAATAATTTATTTTCCTTAGATGTTTTATTTTTGCCATTGGGGGGGTCTTGTGTTCTCTCATTTTTCTATACAAACAACTCCCAGGAAAAACTGAAAACAAACAGCCGTGTTTATAGCTCACCAAAAACTGACTCGCTCCACCTGCAGGGTTTCACCACATTAGATTTTTTATCGTATCTAATGCTTCTGAGTTCCTAAGACTTAATCCAAAATGTCTTTTTATTCACATTCATACATTCTGTGGTGTTAATTTACAAATTCTTTAGCTCCTATTCAGCAGCAACAAACGTCACTGACTGCAGTCAAATAAAATTTTAAAGAAATAACATAAGTTTATGTGAAACTCCACAGAAGATGAAAGAGTTAATGTATGTCTTTTTTTTAAAGGGGTGGTTTATGTAACTTTAATCCTTGACAGATTAAATCACATGTTAGAAATTGGCTCTTTGATTTTCGCATTTTATGTTTGTCAGGTACCAAGACTGTTTCATGACCTAAAACATGAACATTTGAGAAGAAAACTTTTTTGCGGCACAATGTTATTTTTTTATTTTTTTGTATGTACAGCCCCTCCGGACCTCTTAGGTCTTTTGAAATGTTTTATTGATGCATGAAGAGAAAATAAAACTAAGTAATGGTACAAAGATGGCCAACAATTGCTGAAGATCTTTCCTGAATGTTTGAGAACGAAAAAACGGTTTGGATCTTTTTTTAACATAAAACCCACAAGGCATATCTTTAGATTTACCTCATGTTGAAGTTTATATCTATTCATGTTCTATATCTTTGTCAACATTTACATATATTATAGTAATCAGTTTTAGCAAGGATAACAGCTATTTGAATTTTACTTGTTTATATCTTATCAACAATCTAATCGGATTGGTATTAATTATTTGGTATGTTTCAAATTTTAAAAATGTTCCTTTATGTATAATTTCAGTACATTTATCTCTTGCTTTTAAGAACTAAAAAACATGAGTATTTTAACTTAGCTCTGTAAATTATGAGATAAATGTATAAATAATTAATCAAATTCCATTCAGTATATTTATATAGCACCAAAATAAAATGTATTACATCACTTACAGGTAGAGTGGCTAAAACTATACTGCTATAGGCTTAGACTGCTGGAGTACATAGGAACCTCTTTTCATCATTCTGCTTCATTCTATCTATATTCTCCCATTCTGAAGTATTTGCTAATACTTCAGATTAATACTGATTTTCTGATCATAGTAGCTTCATCTGGTCTGTTTCTGATTCTTATCCTGGCCGCTTTACATTTGGACCACCCCAGTGCATGCTGTAGGTTTTGGCCGGAGGGAGTAAGCAGAACCACGCTAGCCTCAAAAAGCAGGGATGAAATACACCCCAAACAAGACCCTTTGCGGCCTAGAAATCCATTCCATTAAGGCCAGCAGTGCCACCCTCTGGAGTTGAGGGACCAAAGTGGGAGATTGATGGAGCCTGTGGTCACATTTAAAAAGATCAGATTCTATCGGATTGAAGATCAAGTAGCCATATGGTCTGGGTCGCAAAAGGAAAAAATTGGATCTGTTGTTCAGACTGTCAAGAAAAGATCAGATACAGGTCGCTATGAGTAAAAAATCCATATAAAATCAGATCTGGGTCACCTCAGGCTGCTGTATGTTTGTAGCCATATAGTTGGAACAAACCTTCTTATACAGGGACCCACCAACACCATAAATGTTACCAGCATTAAATAAATTAGATTTCCTGGCTGATTACTTAATTAGGTTTCAACTTAAGTGCAAACAAACTGTTCTTTATTATTTTTTTAAACACTATTTTAACAATATACATCATTATTCTAGGACAGTATACTGTTACATTTTTTGTAACAGGTGGGCTAACCTAGTGATGCCTACTACCAGGCTTATCCTGTTATATACATTAGGGGAAACCCTGATAGAGGTACAAATACTTTAAATATCTGTCATTTAAAAACAATTTTATAATATAAATGTGTACTTTTGTAAAATATAATCAAGGGAACAAAGAAAAGATCTGCTCAAAATTACCTATTGGTGTTCTTCTCTCTATCACTCTTTGCTTGTAATAAATGATTTCCTCATTACATAATCCTCTTTTCCACTGCAATTAGCGGGTTTTTCACACACGGATTGACCCGCTAATAATCAGCGTTTGGCTCGCTTCCCTTTGGCAAACAAAACTTGGTCTGACCCCCCCGGTTGCAAGCCATGAGACCTCTGTCCTCTCAGCACTGCGTGTTTGGTGATACCATTGCGCTGGGGTTAGCGTCGATGATGTCACCAATCTGACAGAAATCAGGAAAATAAACAATGGAGCACATAGAATGGAGCCAGGGCATACTAAGTATGCTTTATTGTTTGGTTATTGTTTTTTCCATGGTTTTAGAAAGGGGAAATAGAGTACCAACACTAAATAAAATATACACTTTGCTTTTTTAGGCTCCCAGGTAAAGCTGCTTCCCATTTTGCATATCTAAAGAGGACTGCTGAACCAAACCCAGGCAGCCAGCACTGACCTCCTTTGCTCCCTGCCAACAGATGACAGCTGTAAAACTGCCCAGTTTGGTAAGCAATTATGGTTAACAACATTGTTCAATGATGCAACACATTAAGCATCACTGCACGTTAATTTCATGCTGTTTAATGATGGACTGTTTGTGTTCATCAATACTGCACCAGAAATCTGACTTTTTTTTTCAAACATAAACCATTTTCACCTCATTGTTGGTGTTTTTCGCCATCAACAGATTCATTTTGATTATCAAATCACAGCCTAGGTTTTCAGATGGAGAAGATGAGAGTCGAGGAATGTGCCTGTGTGTAGCAGGGGGTAGATGAAAGTGCTGTGGAGCTTAGAGACACTGAGTCACTCCCCGGGAAGGCTCACAAACAACTGGATAAAAATAGAAAAAGCAAGCGGATGGGGATAGAAGACAGACAGAAAGTGAGATGAAGAGAGGCAGGTGGACAGACGGAAGGCAGACAACCACAACGAGCCAACCAGCAGACAGCCAAGACAAGCATGTTGGCAGAAAATCGATCTAGTTGGATCAAAGGTTGAAGCCTATCCGGAAGATAGAAGGGGTTGTGGGGTAATAGGATAAATGTAAATATTAGGATACAAAAAATTAGGATACAAAAAAGTCTCATTGAGATGATTTCAGAGTGAAGGAGAAGATAAAGGCTTAAGATGAAACCATGAGGTTGAGACAAGAGGAAACTGTATTAGGAGGGTGAAGGACTCTATGGCCTCCCTAAAAAACTCAACCTCACTTTCAACAGGTCATTACAAGTCAAACCCATCCTACATCAGTCACTTGTAGCTAACGTTTTCTAGTATCATTCACAAGTCCTTGTGAGGTGAATGAGCCAGAAGAAAAAACAAACAAGAACAAATGACTGATGGAACAAGAAGCCTGTAGACTTGACAGACAGGCCAGCAATAAATAAAATTATACAAAATATATGACGATGTCAATCATGGATTAGCCCAACAAATGTTTTTATAATGTTAGGTTTATTATTTATACATCATGTGCATTATTACTTTGTAAGCCAGATTAGACAGAGTAGAAGGCCTTCCTTCACATGGTTGATGTCACTGTGTGAACGGAGGTCATCTAATCAGGACAGGATTTGTGTCTTTAAAAATACACAGGATATGGGCACATCTTTGAGCCGGTCTGATAAAGGAGAGCTATGTGTAATCCTGGGGTAAAGAGGCAAGTGTCATGGTCTTGGTTCTGTTGTTCTTTACTTTGTTCCTTGTTTTCTAGTTTTATTGGTTTAATTCCAGTTTTGATGTAATTTCTAGATTTATGTTCTCATGTTTTTCTGTTGCCCTCTTGTGTGTGTGTGTTCCTTTCCCCTTGGCTCCCTCGTTGTCTCCTCTCACATCTGCTCCTTGTCAGCTCGTTAGCCCTCCCTTTGTCTCTCTCTGCTATATATTCTCTCCCTCTGCTCTCACTCTTTGTTGGTTCCTTGTCTTTGCTGTCTTCCCATGCTGTGGTCTATGTTCCTCGTCTCTCCCTGGCTCCTTGTGTTTGGTTTTCCCCAGATGTCTCCTTAGTTCTGTTTTGCTTTTCATTATTAGTTGGATTTTTGGATTCCTGCCTTTGTTTACTGTTTTTGCCCCATTAAAACTCCCAAAAATCTCCTCAGCCTCTCTGCCTCTGCGTTTGGGTCCTCAAACCTCAACTAACCCTGACAGCAAGATGCATAAAGGTCAAGGCATAGATGGCGTGTCAGTTTCTGATACAGACAGTTAAGCATCCACCTGATGCAAAACATGGACTCATGAGGTATAAGAACGAGGAGATGACTTTGTTCAGGGCTCAATTTTTGCTCAATCTTTGCCGGACGCTCTAGGTGACGGTTTTTGAGCCCACAGCTGTGCTGACTCCAAGCCATTTCTCTGTCCTGTAACGACCTGACCTGGAATAAACACTGTTACTTTTTTGCTTCTATTTTATAGTCCTCTTTTATATGGTTTTACAGAGTTTGAGTTAAGAGTAGTAGCTCATGAACACTTTGAAGAGGTGATGTAGTGTGGGATTGTTTAAATTTATATCCAACAGAATATGATAAGAAAAAATAACCCTTCTGTTAGCCTCCCTTTTTTCTCTGTAGGTCCAGTAAGACCAAACAGAGTCATCTACCCAGCATGCATTGCACAGGTGAAAAAAATGGAAACCTCCTTGGTTGAAAATAAAAGAAAGGATATATTACAACTCATAACTACTTCAGAAATCATATATCCTTTTTTATATATTATTTTTGGCAATAACTCATAATAACTTAGAAAATAATATATAACAAAGGATATATCAATTTTTAAGTAATTATGAGTTATTACATATCACAAGCTTTTAAGTCAATAGGGAAATTCTAACAAATTAAGGCCAAATGTTTAACTAGTCATGGATAATTTTAAATTATTCACATAGTGAACATGTCAAATTGCTTATTAATGTCACCGTACAGAGTTCCACTTGGACTGTGCAAATACGTGGAGCTTAATTTATTACAAGCAAGATGTTTTCATTACAATTATGTACTTCTGGAGAATTGACATACTTTTAGTAAGCTATTCCTTTGTCCATTAAGTTACTTAGCTGTTTTTCAGCTATAAAGCCAAATTCCTCTTCATTTTCAAATTCTAGCCTAAAAAAGGCTTCATACAAGAGTTTACTTTCTGCACAAATGTTCAAAGGGCTCATTTAATCTTGAACCTCCCAGCTCAAGCTGAACAAAAGCAACCTAAATGGATAAAGGAAAAAAAGAGCTTTCAGGTCTTGGATTTAAGAAAAATTTTCTCTGCTTGTTTTTAACTTCTTCCAAAGGTTTAGAATTTTATAAAAATAACGAGCAAATATAGAACTTAATAGCACTGAATCAACTTTAAAGGAATACACATTTGTTAATAAAGCCCATTGACTTGGCTAAGGGTATCTACTAAAATAATAGTCAGTGTCTTAACAAAAGAAAAACAATGGCAGATGAAACACTGACCTGTGCAGAGGCTTTGGAATCATTTAAGGCTCTCTGCAGAGCGTAGCTCAGTCCCTTTGAAAGGTTCTGTTTTAGGATCAGGTCCAGGCGGTTCCTGCGGAGCTCCATAGACAACACTGTGGAGATTCAAAGAAAAAAAGGGTTTAGGGGCTGGTCTGGATTTGCATTAACAAGAACATTTCACAAACAGGTTAACAATCAGCACAACTGTATTTTTAGATGATGTATGTTGATTTTCTACAAACTTAACTGTAAAACATGGTGCTAAAAACCGTATAAAAGCTCTAATCCTACCGCATCAATGTGTGCAAACGTTTAAAGCACAGAGAGTTTCCTGTTATGATGGATTTTATGTTTAAGCCTTAGTTCTGTGTAGTTTTTTAATCAATTAGGCATTTCTAAAACATAATCCGAAGATGCAGTTTGGTGGACTTGATAAAAACACAGGGGTATTTTTCATCAACTGGGTCTCAGTGATTTGCTCAAAGCACCAGTTCACTGCTGGACCACAAGAAGGACATTTGTCATGAAGTACAGGCAGACTAATGGGGAACAGAAGCCACTTATATTGTTAAACAAAAAAGCATAATTCTACTATAAAAATAACAATATAACGACAACAAAATGATTAGCTGAATCTCTCTTATTTTCCTTCTGTTGTTTAATTCACTTTAATCATTAAGTGTCAATGTGCCACATTGGTCATAATCTTTTATTTTATCAAAGAAATTCTAATTCTCAGCTCCTTAACAGTGTTGGTCTGGTAAATATGACCAGATAAAATATGGAACCCTGTTCTAAAAGTTGTTCTTTAAGGTTGCAGAGTCAGTTTAAATTATATTTTTTCATTTTATACAGCAACATACACAGTTTTTCTGAACAATTACCATGTCCTGCTAACATACTATTTGTTATCATTGTAATTTATGCTGTCTTTTTTTAAATGTTTTGGTAAATAAGGCCTTTCGTGCATGCCCTACCAACAGCCTTTCACCAAAGATACGATATTACACATGTCTGCAAAGCGTAAACATGGCAGGAATGTGGATATGCTGGTTAGCAACTCCAAGTGAATTTCTGAAAATAATGAGGAAAAGTCCAAGATGCAGTGAAGAGACGGCAAACAATATTTGATTCTAAGAGGAATAAAAAGAAGCAAAATGAGGTTGGACATCAGTCAAGCTTTGAGCATTGCTGCTGACTTAAGGAAGCAACGGGGCTCAGAGGACACGCAGAGATTCCTGCTTTTCTTCTCAACTGGTAAGAGTTTCTAAAATAGATCTAAAAACACTATTAAATGGTAAGGAAAGCAAATAAAACTGATTAAAGTAACTAGAATAAAATAAGTCATTTGTTTACAAAATTCAGAATGTATTCAGTTTTTTATTATTATTGTTGTTTATCAGAGGTTTTTCAGACTTTCTGGAAATCTCTTTAAAGTCTCACTTTGAACCTCAGGGGCCATTGAATCATGAGGACATATAAACCTGTGCTGAAAAAGATCATTAAAATGTTTCTTTTTTTTATGTTTCTGAAAGAGATCTTCAACTTAAAGGCATTTTAGTAAACAGTGGATTACTCTTTTAGTGGAATAACAGTTTGTCTGTGGAATTTTATCTTTGTTGCATTCCATGGAGTCAATTGCACAGGAAAAAAACGTTAACCAAGTGCTGACACATTGCCTAAAGCCGTAGAAAAATGTGTAACTGTGCAGACAGCTCTTTTAGTAAAACAAGGAGGACAAGTGACACCGAGGTTTTAACATCGAAAGACAATTAGGATTTTGGCCCATAATCATCACTATGATCAACAGACTGTGAAAAAAACAGGCAAGAATTTACTGCGACTTTTGTAGGACAAAGACGTTTTGAGAATGTTGTGTTTTCTACTTCTACATGTAGTGCGGTGTTGGAAGCTTTTGGTCTGTGCCGTACACGCCTTCCTTGAGTCAGCCAGAATATTAGTTACAAGAGCAACCATTCAAAATGGCCTTTCCCAGTCAAACGCCAGCCGAATGGCAGCCCACTTCCCTGCAACTCTCATCAGAATCCCCTCCAACTTCCAGCCACTGGAGTGACCCCCTCCTTCTCTTGGGCCTGCATATCTTTTTACTCTGACTCCATCCTTTCACTAAATTACAAGGTCTGACCAGGAAGTGAATCTTCTCTTTCAATCTTAATGTCAACAAATCACGACAGAAAGACTATTTTAGTACAAATATTGAAGTTTAAAAAGGAATTGTAAGGGACCAGCCAAGTAGCCTGGGTGCGATTTCGAACTTAGTCCCGCCCACAACGTTTGAGGTCGGGAAGTTTGGTCTGGCATTGTTCAATAGTAGCGCGAGTATGCTCGCACAATATCTGGCGGGCCAATCAAATTGTCAGGGCGGGCTTTATACGATGATGGACAGATGATCAACAGTAACGTAATCAACCACGTGACCAAAGCACGCTTGGGTGACAACAACAATGGCTGCCGCTGGAGAGTTTAGGTGAGTAGATTCTGCTATTAGGTCTGTTCTAGAAGATATCGACAGCAAATTAATTTTAAAAGAGGAACAGAGAAACGCGATCAAGGCTCATCTTCTTATTATAGGCGTGCAACTGCACGCTTTGATTTTTGTTGACAACAACTATGCGTCGCTTAACATACGTCACGCACTCCGTTGCTCTTATTGGTTGTAGGTCTATCCAATTGAATGCAGAGGCATTTTTTTTCCTGGTTCGTTCGAAACACGCCCCATAATCACAGCTCTATGGAGCAGTATCAGACTCATTCTGACTAGAATTGAGTAGGACTACGTCAGGCTGCCAGCCAAGGGCCCATCAAGAAAATTTTGAAATGTTGTACGGCGTATAAGAGCTTCCAAATGACTAATTTCCACGTGGAACGTACCAGTGTGTGCCAAGTATAACTGTGCCCTAAGAATCAGAATTTGCTAAGTTAACTTATTTATCAAGAGAAGACTGATTTTTATGTCTTTAGATTTGGATTTTTGTGCCTGAATGATTCATAGGTCAAAGTTAAATGGTGCTGTGCCTTTTTTTTCCCCTCTACCAATTTTCACGGACTTGAAACAAAGTTAGTAAAAAAAGAAGCAATAGTCCAAAAACAAGTTGCTTGCAGATATTATCTCAGCATTATGTTTTGAAAAGTTAAGTATTTGTTGTAAAAGGTCCTACCTGTTTTGACCCAGAACTTCTCTGTCACGTTGCATGGCAAAGGCATTTCCTCTGCGTTGGTAGCGGAGAGACTTTGTGAGGTTGTTGTCAGAGGCAGAGTGGTTGGAACTGGGATGAGGACAGTGGTGGAGGGTGCCCTGGTGGTGGTGGTAGTTGTGGTCGTGGTGGGGGCGGCGGTAGTAGTCGATACAGTGGTGGTAGTAGTGGGAGCCAGGGTAGTAGTGGTGGTGGTGGTTGTGGTTGTAGTAGTTGGGGGAACAGTGGTTGTGGTGGTTGTAGTTGGGGGTGGCGCAGTTGTAGAGGTCGTTGTTGGCAGAGTAGTTGCAGTGGTTGTGATTGGTAGGCTTGTAGTTTCCTCTGTTGTTGCAGCAGCTGTCGTGTTTGGAAGCGGATCTACGGCGCTCCCAGTGATTGGCGTCCCCTGCGTTGCTATCTCTGTGCTGCTAACAGTGAGGGTGGTTGTTGAGGGTGAAGTTGTGGTTATCGTTGTCAGCTGAACGCTGCCACTGGTCACAGTGTCCGTGCTGGTGTTGTGTGTGGTACTGTTGGGTTCTAGCCCTGCTTCCATCCTCCTCGTGGTAGAAAAGGGCACGGTGGAAGTGGTGGTTGTAGATGGGGATGTCTGCACGGGCGGGGCTGCTGTAGTTGTGTTCTGGGCAGGGATCCTGGGACGTACAGGCATGGTGGTATTCCACTGGTGGGTGGAGAAAGGGCTAGTGACGTTGGGGGGAAGTGTGATATCATGGTCGCCCACTGTGGAGAGGAGTGATTCAGGTACAGTTGGCAGATCCCAAGCTGGTAGATTGCTCACTATTTCATCTAAAAGGAGAAACAATACTGGTTATTTAAAAAAAAAAAACTTTTTTTTTCCTGAATACAGTAATTCAAAATAGGGAATGTTAGCAGGAATGTTTAAAATAAAGCAGTCTGTAGACTTTTTTAATCATTTCATTTTTTTTTTACATACTTGTCTTATTTAAATGATTCACTCATATCTAATTATTAGCATTGCCTCTATTTTTGTCATGTACACCACTTTGAGGAATTGTCTTACCACTGAAATGTACTATATAAATAAACCTTCCTTGCCTTCCATTGATTTGCCCTTTGAGATCATGCAACTTATATTTGGGGGTTATAGTTTTAGTATTTGAGGCTCAGCTTCACTGAATCTGTATCTGTGCTGCACATTAGCTTGATTTATGTACATGCACAAAGAACTGTGTAAGCCTATCTTATGATCACACTGTGTTAGCATCAGATGTGATATAAGATAATCCAGTAAAAGACTGTCCTGCTGAAACTCTTGTTTCGGACCAAACAAAACAAACAGCTAACTGCAGTGTGCACTTCAACATCACTGAGGTAGTAAAGTGGAGAAAAATCCCAATATGAAAATATAAAGCTTGTAATCCTGATGAAATATTCTGTGCCTTAAAGCTACTTAGTGAAGTATATGCAGCACACATCACGGTGATTTCTTTACCTATAAAGGAGCCGTGGATTAGGATTTAGAAAAGAAAAAAAAATGACCTTAAAATATCTCTATCAAGGACAAAGACTCTTAATTGAGGGATTTCTATGAATTCATTTTTCTCCATCTTTTACTACTACATCTCTTTAAAGGTCCTGAACATTTTGTAGAGAAAAGAGAACAAAGATAAATTGGTATAAAACACTTTTAAATATTCCGTAATCTTACAGTTGTACATTAATTGTCAAAAAAAAAGGCTGCAATTTAATTAATCTGCAAATAACATTTAATTTCACTTTTAGTTTGATAAAGTATTTTTGATTTAAGTGAACTGAAATGTTTAATTTGAAGTTTCTTCTTTTTTCCTAAATTAGTTCTCAAACCCATCTTTTTCAAGGCAAGGCACGTTTATATCTATAGCGTAATTTAGTAAACAGACAACTCAAAGTGGTTTATATGAACAAAACAACAAAATAGAAGAAAACTTGAGGCAGAATAAAAGGAAGTAAAGATAAAAGCATGATACAGGCAGGTAGTACAGCAAATAAAACAGTTGGACCAACAACCCAAAAATAATGCACCTCAGTTTTTAAATGTATATTTCCCAGAATATCTGATTGTGGTACTTGTTGGTGTGTTACTGTTAGGTGCAATAATAGAGATGTGTCAAAATGAGAGCGAGACTAATAAAAGGTAGGTTATTAAGTCCCAGTTATCCATTTTAGTTAATTTCAAAGTAATGTGGGAAAAAAATTATTTTTCTAAAATACAGATCGATGTGGGGAGCAGCACTTTGTTATACCAGCATAGGACTGTGGTGAATATCTTATGAAGTCAAATGGAAACTTAAATGACCTCTTACTTATTTCCAGGCATTTATTGAAGGATTAAATGCTGTAATAATTACCTGTTGGTTAAGATGGAAATCGACACAGCAAACCGAGAGAGATGAGAGACAGGAGGGTGATGATGGCGATGGTGATGATGAAGGCAACAAGTTTAAAGTGATAGCAAAATAATAAAGATGATGGTGACAGTGATGCGATGATGATGATGAAAATAAAGCTGAAAAAACGACATGATCAGAATGTTTATGCTCAGTAAAAAATGTTTTTGCAAATTACTTTGACAAATTAATCAGGATTAAATCACTGCTTCTTCTATGTTTTGGTAAAGCACCCCTGGAGCATTTGGCAGTCAAGTATTTTTTATATCAAATTTTCTGAGGTAACTGAACCGATCTAAGTTGTATCTGACTGACTTCTTGAGTTTGCTTAATCCTAATGGTCACTCTGTTTGACTTTGTTAAAGGTCATTGCTGCAACTTCTCTATCAAAAAGGTTCATTATTCAAAAATAGTACATTCATTGACTAGTGAATAATAAAAGTAGAATTCTTTACTGAAAAAAATAAACTAAATATTTTGTTTTATCAATTTTAAAAGGGTCTGAAATACATCAAAATGTACTTCTGATTAAGACGCCAAAATCAAAACAACACATTCTGCTGTAATAGGAATAGCAGGTAAGGCTGAAGGATTTTTCCTAAAATTGTTTTCACCCAGTGTTGCAATTGTAATTTTATTGCGATTTTCCTCTTCACTAAGCACAAGCACGTTGATGTTTTACTTCAGCTTTTCCTTCAGCTTTTTCACGCCCTTGAAAACCTGCTTGTCCAAAGTCCAGTGTTGCAGGACTTTGCTGTAACATATGCAAGAAAATGTTCTAACTTCTGCTATAATGCATAGATCTAGGTGCTAGCTGCAACTCAACTTACCCACTTTAATCGTTTTACTGTCCCCTGAAGGGCTGGAGGGAGAACTTAAGTGTCTTAAATATTTTTAATGTATTGTGACTAAAACTTGAGTGCCTCTGTGATTTGCAAATTTTTCTAAATTGCGATTATATTGTATATCTGTATGTCTATTTCTGTCTCTTTGGACCCCAGTCGGCCTCAGCAGATGGCCGCTCACACTGAGCCTGGTCCTGTTGGAGGTTTCTTCCTGTTAAAAGGCAGTTTTTCCTCTCCACTGTCGCTACAAGCATGCTTGTTTTGAGGGATTGCCCTCAGGTCAATGATTTGATGCAATCAAATGGTTTTGCTTAGATAGAAAACTTTGAATCTGAATCTGAAACTTGAGTTTGACTGTATCATCTGGTTGAATTGTATCTTAAAGTGCCTTGAGATGACATATTGTGAATGGGTGCTACATAAATAAACTGTATAGAATTGAATTATTGCAAATTCAATTATTTTTCCAGCCCTACTAGCAGGTCGACGTTATTTGAGACGAAGCTCAGGTGCTGCCAGATGGTGGTAGATCCAGATGAGAAATGGATTCTTCAGAGAAAAGCAAAACTAGGGTGAACATCAGTCAGGCTTTTGAGCTCTGGTGACGATTTAAGGAAGCGGAGTGTCTCAGAAGGTGCAGAGAGGTCGCTGCTTCTCTTCTGAACTGCTGAGTTAGTCTGGTAAACAGTACAGAGGGAGAGCGGGGCAAGTGCAAGTGCTCAACTCACTGACCGGGAGGAGTTAACTTCGATTTCAGCTTTAATAACTGATTCTGTGACAGTTCGCTTAAACTCTGCAGTTTATTTGTTTGGTTTTTCTCTGAGAGATGAAAACATCCTAACATCCCAAGTTCCAAAAACTAATTTCAGGGAGATGCTTATCGAACACCAACAGATATGCACAGGTTTCACAAGCAACCTCCTCCCCACACCCCCTTTTCTTTTCGTGCCTGCGCAATCGAAGTAGTCGTAATCCACACGTGATGCATGATTTATTGTATTGCCTGCACTCGCTTTCACTCGCATAGTCTAAAATCCGGGCCAATTTATCCGACTCGCGGATATCCATGAACAAATGTCTATATCAGGGAGACTCCTGGAACTTCTGAGAGACTTCGGATGTCTGGAAAACAATCAGCTCGGCTTAACGGTGTCTTTAACGTTGTTAGAGTTACTTCAATGAAAAATGTTTATCTGGTTCAGCCTGTCAATTTAGATGGATGTTTGTTCCTTGGTAAGTTTACAGGTCACTCAAACTCTTTCCCTCTTAGAAGATGGATCAAACAGTGATCCATCACACCACTGAAGATTGAGATATTGTTTGAAAACCGTATTGTCTTTTAAACCTTTCCACAACCTTATCTCTGACCATATCTGCTAAGTTTGTTGGATCTATTCAAGCATCTTCAGTTACTTTAACATAAAACAATAGTGTTAAAGTGGGTAAAGATTCTTTTTCTGTGAATTTTTGTCATTAATGTTGTGTAGCTAACCTCTGAGGCCTTCACAGAGCAGCAGTCTGTATACAGGGAATGCAGATGCATCCATTCTGAAGTGAAAGAGTGTGATTGATTTTTAATAAGACAAATGATTGCCATATTTTTGAACTGTCAGTTCAACGTGTTTAACACAATAAAAGCTTTTTCTTCCACTTTGCAACCTACACTCCTGCCTGTTGGTCTGTTATAAACTCCCACTACGATAAACTGAGCTATGTGGTTGTGAATGACGAATGAGTGGAATTAAAACCTTTGGCAGGCGTCTGAAAGTCGAATACCCACCCAAACTGTAGTTAGCTGAAGAGCCGTTGTTTCCGAAAGCCACAGATATGTTGGTCGATGCTGTAGTCTGACTCAGTTTTTTACTGGGTGGAGAGGAGGGAGTGGAGGGCAGAGTGGATGCTTTCATTGTGGACGAAGATAAGGCCTTGGATGATGAAGAAGAGCTCCTAGACCAAGCTGCTTTGGAAAGCAACCCCAAAGGTTTTCGGACTGCTGCAGTGTGCAGTTCTGCCGACTCTGTCAGCATGGAGAGAACGGATGACAGGGCCGCCTGCTCCCTTTGGACCTCTCCACCCATCCTCAGCTTCTCCTGGACCAGCATGGGAGCTGGATCTTCGGGCACGCTTGGCAGCGTATCATCCGTGTCTGCTGGCCTCCATCCTTCAGCCCAAGCTTGAGTTTCTGTCATAATCCCAGCCTCTGCAAAGACTTTTCCATGTGCTCCTGCGCCCACTTCTTCACGTGTTTCTGTCCAGACTGCTGTTTTCGCCTCGGCAAACACTTTGCCCTCAGGCCAGCGCCTGAGTTCCACGTCAGGACCAGCTCCAGGAGACGCCTCTTTAACCCCAGCTCTGTCTCTCATACCAGGAGTTACTGTGTGGACTGTAGGGTCCAGAGAAACGTCCCTGTGCTCGATTGACACATGATGTTCGCTCCCAGCTGCTTGAAACACAGAGAGAAAGAAAACAGAGAGAAATTCATGTTTAATTGGGGGCATTTTGAGTCATCTGCCTGCAAAGAGAGAAAGTGACTCACTTCTGAACACATCTGGAAGCCTTGACTCATTACTCCCCATAAGGTCATTCCAACTGTCCCACTGTCAGTAGATTTCAACCTGCACTGCCTGCACCCAAACTAAGACTCCCATAAAAATGTCTCTGTTATTCCTCTGCCTCACACACACATAATGGAAAGGATTAAAACTGTGACTACTGGAAAAAAAAAAAAACAGTAATACCGCAAAAATAGGTCACTTATGTTTCAGAGGATAAAGCATAGGGAATTAATTTTCATGTTCTGGGACCCATAAATTAGGACACAAATGCAACCTAATCAGCTGCGATTTCACAGATACTAATCTCATCCCTTAGGTTAGCCACACAGGCTCATGGGTTTATTATTTCCACAACAAACATGCTGCCCCTCTGCTTGGTCCAACATGAATAAGGATGACATTTGCTCTCAAAGCAAACGTGTGTGTCGGCTATTTATAGACCAGAGAGGGTCATTTTTCATTTAATAATGATCTGAAAATACCTGAAAATACCTTTAGAGAGAGACGGATACATGGGGCAGCAGATATTTTAGTTTGATATTTACATTTTTTTCTTGTTCAGTCAAACATGTTTTCATTATTGCCTTCTGCAGCCATGCTTTGAGATCACCTGAAGCTCATGTTTTGCCCTTTCCTTCTTCTGCAATCCATTGTTCATGTTTTCTCTAATTTGCTAATAAGTGTTTATTCTTGTTTAAAATTAGGCTTGTTTGACATTTATTATCATCATTTTTATCATATAAAACCAGAAAGAAAAAGTGATATCAGCTTCAAAAATCGATCATAAAAAATATATGCAGCGCATATCAGCAATGGGTTGACTGATGTCGGTTTCGGCATCTGCCTGTCTGGTTTAAGTGATTTTGATCATTTTGATCATAACTAAATTCAAACGTTTAATTCACAGATTTTTACAGCATCATTCAAACGTTAAACTTTCCATTTTGTCAAGTCACAACCAGACGTACTTATTTTATAAGTATTTTTTATGAAAGTACATTGTATCCTGAAGTAATACAAGGTTTTAAAAAACACTGCAAAGAAAACTCTAAAAAAGTGTGGAATAATACGGTAAAATAAATCCAGCTGTTCTCTGAAGGCCTCTGATGTTTGTTCAAGAACATTAGACAACAATGTTCTGATGGCATGGCCAGCCAGAACCCCATCAAGAGGTTAAAACAGATTTAGGTTCTAAAATAATATTCTGTTTTGAACCTTTCATGAGTCGACATTGAAATCTGAAGGAGTTCAGTGCAGCTGTAAACATTTCAAGACATTTTTGTCCTTCTAAATTGACAGGAGCTGCATAGATCCACGGCTCAGCCAGAATCTGTCCATATGACCGACTATCAGTTATGCATTGCACATATCTGACCTTTGTAGAGGAGTGCTGAATAAAAAATCCATAATAATTCCTGTCAATTTCTTTAGGCAGGTCAACCCAAAACATACATTTACATAAACAATGCAGCATCCAGTTGTCTGGGTCAGAGAGGAAGGGTTCAGTCAAATCCAAACTAAGAATATAAGGCAAAATCTGCAAAACTAAGGTTTACAGATTTTTTTTTTTTTTCTAAACTGACATTTGAACCATTTCTGCACAGAAAATTTAAAAAATATCTTTTTGTGACTGTCTTAAGGAGGGTAGAAGCAAATATGAAAATAATTTGAGCAGAGAGGCCAACTTGCACCATCAATCTTATCTAATCTTTATTTATGGTATTAAATACCTATGAGAAAGTTTGATAATTTAAAAAGCTTATTAAGTATGGAAACTTTTGCACTTCAGAATCTGTTTTCATATTTCAACACCTCCTCATTTCATCTTCTAAATGTGTCACACATTTCCCACGCTCCCCGAGTCTCTGCGGAGGTTCGGTTAATTAAAAAGCGGCCATTCTGATCTAGAGAGGCTTTGCAGCACACAGCTCTGCTGAGCTGCTGCACATCCTCCAGAAACTTCCGATAAAAACATTTCAAATATCACGTCATTAATTACCATCATTCAGCAATCTGTCCCTCGTTACACCATGTCATATCATAAATGTCATTAGAGGAGGAAATTAATCCACTGTCTGTTTATGTTCATGCATCTTTGGGCTCAGATGGGAGCCTTAGTCACTTTCATAGAGTGGAAAAACAAGATGACAGGGGCACGAAGCTCGGGCGCCACTGGGTAAGTTATATGCCAACTAAATTTAACCTAAAAGTCATCCCTCTGCTGATCAAGATTCACTGGATTCTTTATTTCTTAATACCATGTATTTACCAAGAAGGTGGCCATCATACATGTTTTACATTAAATAAAAAGTCATTCATCTGCAACTTTCGAAACCTAAAGAGAAAGTGTGCTCCAAATCCAACATAATAAAACAAGGTTTAAAGCTGCCAATTTTAATATAACTTGTTAAATATGAGCTATTAATGGTCAGATCCTATTTATTAGAATGTTTCAGTGTTGAAGTGAGGCAAAACATAAAATAGTTTTTAAGGTAACGATCATAAAAAAAAAAAAAAACATTGGTTCTTTTAATGTAATTTCTTTGGGAGAATTCAACTTAGAAACTCTTTGAAAAAGTTTCTTAAGTTTCCGACACTTGCATATGTTTTGCCTCCATATAAACCTTTTAGTTGCTTCTTTATAATTTTAGACACTATTGGGAGCTGTTATTGTCGCGGTAGGGTGGAGCTTTGACAGGGCCCAAATGCAGACACTGAAGCTGAAGTTGGTTACTTGCAGATTCAATTAACCAAAAAGGGCAAGAGAAGCAAAAATCCCAAAACATAAATCCTCAGAATCCACAAAAATAAAGAAAAACCAGGAAAACTTACATGAAGGGGATGAAATTACGACAAAAAAGCAACAGTAACTGAGCAGGAGGTGCATATACGGGAGAGAGAAACAAAGACCAAGCTAATCAGCAGATTGGGAGCAGGTGTGAACAGAGGAGACTAGAAGGGAGCTAGAGAAAAGGAGGCAGACACAGGAGGGTAATAGAGGGAAAACAAGAAATACCTAAGAACTCAAATACAATCAAAATGACTACAATAACACAAAATGGAAAACAAACCCATGAAACTCAAAGATAAAACTTAAACAGAACAAAAACCATGATTGTTATAAAGTGTCAAAAGAGCTTTATAACTGTGGAGCAGCACGTTTCAATCTAGGTGTAAACCTTTTATAGGGAATTCTGTGAAATACAAAATCTAAATTTCAGGCCAATAGTGTTATTGGAATCCAGGACAAGACCATATTATCTTTTTTACATTCAAATGACATGGATATTTTCATAGCAAAAATTAATGTCAGTGTAATAACAAGAAACACCAACTTTCCCGGATATATTAAGAAAAATAACTAAAGTGCTTCTATAAAAAAATCATTAAAAAACACTCAGAGGGAAAGAAACATATTTTTTGGAAAAACATAACCTTAGAGGCATTAATGCTGATACTGGCACTTAATTTTTTAATTCATAAACCTAAATATAAACTTAACTTTATATAAAATATAAACTATTAACTTTTTATCTTTACTTTTAACTTTTCACTTAGCTTTTTACCTTTTTTCTTGACTTGTTAACATTTTTTTCAACTTAACTTAAAGTAGGTAATATATCATTCAAAGGCTCATTTAATTGGTCAAATGACAAAATAAGATGTTCAGCCATGTAGAAGTATCTTTGCTGAATGGCTGGATGTAGATCTTGTGCTTCTAGACCTCACTGAGTGACAGGGGGAGGGGGGAATCCATTTGTAAGGGGTATGCAATTGATCAAAAACAATAAATTACCCTATAAAGGGTTAAACATTTTAGTGTTGCACGTTAAAATTATCTTAAACTTTACAGTTACAGTTACTAATGGTTTTGTCTGTTATTTTGTTTACATGTTTCTAAATCATTGCTCATAATGTCCAAGTTGCACATCTCACCCAACAGATCTGGGGTAGAACCACAGCAGGACGCCAAGCTTTGCTCAACAATTAGCCACAATAGTTGACTGTCTTTGTGCTAATGGGTGATGGATCATGTGACCAAGGGTTGTCAGCTAGAGAAGACACATGGCCCTGAATGAATGTCGATGTTTTGTATTTGCTCCAGTGAATAATCTCTCAGATATGAACAGATAATCACTAATAATAATGTCAGCTATTGCCTCTATGACATTATAACTTGGCAAAGTCAGAAACTCCTTCAATAGCAAATAATCTTTTTCCAAAAGGGTGCAGTCCATCACAAGTGAGGGTATCACAGTGATGAATGAATAGATGGTGAGAATTACAGAAGAATTGATGGATAAAGATCTACTGTATGCGGGGATGGTTAGGAAAGCCACCTGCTCTAGCTGAGAGCAGCATATGTGACTCTACTATCAGGACACCAGGAAATAGGAACCTCTGCTGCGACCAAATATGTACAGGATTGTTTGGATTGTGGAGAAGAAAGAGTAGATTAAAGGTGGATAAATGCGGATTTAAACTGCATTAGCTTTTTGGACATTTGCATTTTGCATATTTTCATGTTACATTCGGCTTACACCCGATTATGAGAATCACAGCATAGAGAGGATGCACAAAGCACGGTGGTCATTTACAGGGCTTTTAGGCTAGACTCATATTACGCTTTGACCATGGTGTCTTGCCAGCTGGATGTGGAAACGCTGCTGCTGCATCTCTGCAGCTGCCAACACAGAACTGATCAGTACAAACCTTCTGATTATTCATGGTTATCTTTTTCAGCTGCAGTTATTCATGCACTGGTAAATGCTTCATGCATACACCTGTGCATTTGTGTCATGGCTTGTCTAGAAATGCTCCAACAGTGAGCAGGACAGGTCAAGTGCCAAACACACAGGAAGTGCGAAGGTAGCGCTGAGCCAAACGG